CTTGAAGAGAGGGAGGACAGAGAAGGAAAGAAATCAAGGGGCAAGTTAGCAGAGTTGGACAGGAAGGAACAGGGAACAAGGACACTCCAAGACGGTAACAGCTATATACCCAAACCAGCGTCAACAACACTGAAAGCGTGAGATCCAAATCACAAAAACCAAACTCAAAATCGTGTCTGTCACGGTGGCAGGCTGGGGGAGGGGGCCTGGGGACACAGTGGTGGAGGGAAGGTGACCCTGATGGTGGGATTATTGTTAGAGCATTGTAGGCCCAAAGCTCAACTATGAATAACTCTGTAAATAATAGTACTTTAATAAAAATCTTTTTAAGTATAAGAGGAAAAAAAAGGTCTGTTTATTCCAAGCTAACTAAGGGTTTTATACTTTTTCATAATAAATTAGTTTCATTTATGTGAATGTTCTATATCATTTCAAGTGATCTCATTGTACCTGTAGAATTTTTATTATAAAGTAACAAAGTATGAGATTAATACCCAAGAATAGCTGAGATCAGCACCAGGGGGATTACTCCATAGCTTAGAGGCCAGCCGGGCATTCTACGGGAAAGGGCAGTTCAGATAGAGAAGGGAGCACCAAATAAAGGGTGTTTGGAGGATCCTCCCAGGAGGGGAGATGCATGTTGAAAGTAGACTATGGACTGAACATGTCTGCCACTCAATGCCTCTTTTGCAGACCACAACACCCTAAATAAGAGAGAGAACACAAGAGATTGCCCTGCCACAGAGGCAGGGTGGGATGGGGGGGATGGGGGTGGGGGGGATATTATCCATGGTGGTAGAAATGGGCACTGGTGGAGGGATGGGTATTTGATCATTGTATAATCGAAACCCAAGCACACAAAATTGTAAATCTACAACTGTACCTCATGGTGTTTCACTAATAATAAAAAAAAACGCAAAAAAAAGTAAAGTAAAGTAAAGTAAAGGCCCTCCCGTTGATCGTCGATTTGCTCGAGCGGGCCCAGTAACGTCTCCATTGGAGACTTTGTTGTTACTGTGTCTGGCAAAAAAAAAAAAGAATTTTTATTATAATCTTCTACTAATCAAGGCTAGAGCAATAGCACAGCAGGTAGGGCCTTTGCCTTGCATGCAGCCGACCCGGGTTCGATTCCCAGCATTCCATATGGTCCCCTGAGCACCGCCAGGAGTAATTCCTGATTGCATGAGCCAGGAGTAACCCCTGTGCATTGCTGGGTGTGACCCAAAAAAGCAAATAAATAAATAAAATGTTTTGGGCTGGAGCCATAGCACAGTGGTAGGGCGTTTGCCTTGCATGCAGCCAGCCCAGCCGAGTCTGGTTTGATTCCTCCGCCCCTCTCGGAGAGTCTGGCAAGCTACCGAGAGTATCTTGCCCGCACAGCAAAGCCTGGCAAGCTTCCCGTGATGTATTCGATATGCCAAACACAGTAACAACAAGTCTCACGATGGTGACGTTACTGGACCTGTTCTAGCAAATTGATGAACAACAGGAGGACAGGACAGTGCTACAGTGCTACTAATTAATGCAGATACTTAAGCACTATCTATGATATAATATTTTCTAACTTAAAGCCAGTAATCCCTCTTTAGGATAAAACATACTTTTATGCTTTTATAGGCCCATTCAATGTTCCATTAAAATTTTCTTCATTCAGGGCTCGAGTGATAGTACAGCAGATAAGATGCTTGCCTTGCATGTGACCAACCCAGGTTCAATCCCTGGCACCCCATGTGGTCCTCAAAGCCCACCTAGAGTAATCGCTAAGCACAGAGACAGAAGTAAACCCTGAGCTCAGCTGGGTATGGCCCCAAAACAAGCAAACAAACAAAAACTCCTAATTCCCCTCTCCTCACACTTACTAAATTGCATATTTGTAAAATTTATGTATTGCATGTTCATTTTAAAATTTATTGGCATAGAATTACTGATACCATTGATTTTTTAAAAATGTATACACATACACACATGTGGGAAGCCAAGAGCCCTCTCATAGACCCTGGCCGTGGTTCCCATGTTAGGAACTGCTTGGGACAGACATTGGTGACAGTCTCCCAGGACTTCCTGATCTCGGGTGGATACCTGATCTATAGCCACACATCAGGCTGACAGCTTATCTGGCCTTATCTATAGTAACCTCCAGGATGCATCTACTCCCTAAGCCCCTCTGATATACAAATGTAAAGCTCAGGATGCACCTACTGCCACAAGACCCTTTGATGTACAAATGTCTACCTTGAATGTTAGGTAAAGCTCTTGTTGCTGACCTTACCATATATGGTTATATTGCTTCTGCTCCTGACTGAGCTGCTGGACCCTATATAAACAGCCTGTATCCCTCAATAAAACCTGTCCCTTTTTCTCTCTGCTTCTAAACTGTACTTTGTCTCTTGTGTCTCGTGTTCATTCGGTTGGTCCCTCCTTGCACCATCGGATCAATCCTCGGGCCACCTCCACGGGCTGGAGAGTGGTTACTGGGGCCCCCTGCGCGCACACACACACACACACACACATATATATATATATGAAAATACAGCCATCGGGGATGGGCGGAGCCCTTTGCAGTGTCAGTGCCCTTGAAGCCAGGAAGTCAGTGCCCTTGCGTACTCAGCCCTGATGAGGGTGTAGAGGCAGAAGCTGGAAGCATTGTGATCTGCCCTGCGTGCACAGATCCAAGTCCTCACTACGGCGAAAGGTGAGGCCGTCTCCTCTGGTCTCCTTCTTCCTACGCAGGCCCAAACTCACTTTCAAACGAAGTACGTCACCCTCTAACGGGGGTCACCCGGTGATGCTGGGGGGTGGGGCACCAGCAACAGAAACCAAGGATTCGAACATGCTGTGTGTGTTCTCCCACATGCGCTAGCTCCCTGCGCCCATGCTCTCCAGCAAGTGACGTCAGAGCCACACTCTTCCCCCTTTCCCTAATGCAAACGCTTTGGTCTTACAACCGTGTGGGCCTGTTCTTGGACAGCCTTAGTGTGAATTAGCGCTGAGCACAGCCTCCAAGTCTGGTACTTGTCAGTGGTGGCCATGGTCAGTCAGGATCCAGAGGTGAGCGTGTGCCTTAGGATGAAGTCTGGCAAACATCCTCGCCTGCCCTCCTGCGGCCAGCCACTTGGCCATCCTGCCCACGCTGGACAGCCCCAGCCCTGTGCCCTCCCCTCTTCCCCAAGAGGGGGCCAGGTATGCAGGTCACTAGCCATGATGCCCTAGGAGAGCCCAGTGTGAGCCAGGCTGGGGACAGCGCTGTAGGACAGACGCCATGGGCCTCTGCAACATAACTGGTTAGCAGATTGTCACCAAATCCCATGTGACAGGATATCTAGGGCCACCTGAGAGGTTTGCGGCCAGGAAGCAGGCTTTGAAGGGGGAGTCCAGGAGTCAAGACGGTGTGTAGGAGCCAACAGCACACAGCCAGGGTTGGCTACCACCAAGAGGAAAAGCATCCCTGACATGAGGGGCATGGGATGGGGTTGGGGGGTGAAGACCCAGATGAAAGTACCAGCCCCCTGTCTTTGGATCTGGAGCATCACCGAGAGAACTTGGTTCCTAAGTTCAGAAGCTTGAAACTCACCGGGCTCTTTTCTGACCAGGTGAGTTGACATTCTGCCAGCATTTGGAGATGTTACTGCGGGAGAGCAGGACAGACACACATACAGGCCACAGACTCCTCTAAGCCAGGACGGGGGGGGGGGGGGGGGGGGGGGGGCGGCGGGGAGGGTCAGAAGGGAAGGCGCAGAGACAGGGTGTGCCCAGGACACACACAGTCCCGCAGATGGGGAAATGCAGGAAATGAGCATCGCCATGAAAATGTCTACTCTTCTGGGTAAGAATTGCTCAACTATCTATGAAGGGTAAAAATGGAGCACGCACACACACACACACACACACACACACACACACCAAAATCCAGCCCAAATGCATTTAATATGTATCACTGAACATGTGCAGAGATTGCGGCAAATTGCTTCACAAACGCAAATTATTGCAATCAGCATCTTGTCTTCTAGTTCTAAATTCAAAGGCGAACTATTAGCACAAGATGCTAACTCTTGCTATTATCACACTTGCTATTATCACACATCCTCCCTGGAACAAAACCACATTTCCAGATGGACTGCCAAAATTAGTCGAGTGACTCCTAAGAAATCCTACCAAGACTGACAGGCCAGAAGTCCACTTAGACATGAATGCTTTACTTCAACCTAGGAAACGCCCACCCAAACACACCTCTCCTAAGGAAACCTGAGGTGCACGATTTACAATTCAACTCAAATCTCAGCTTGCGCGGGGTGGGGGGGGGTGGGGGGGCATTGGAAGGTGCGGGGGCACAGCTAGGGCTGCTCCCCAGGCCGCACACCACCTGGTCCTCAGTGCTGGCTCCTGGGTTGGTGATGGGGGCTGGGCCTGATAGGGCAATTCTGATCAGAAACGCAGCAAAGGATTTAAACTCAAGCTGGATAGGATGGACACAGGTGACACACCGCAGTACTCGGGAGAGTGTAATCGCTTCGGCAATAGAACTGGTTATTCCTCTAGGTTTCCTCTGCTTTGGCATAAAGAAGCCTCATTTCCACAGGCCTGGCCCTCCCCAGGAATATGTGACTCAGATGAGATCGCTGCAGTGCATTCTATTAGCAACTACTCCTGCAGAACACAATTATCACAGCCAGTGGGCTCAAGGACCAGAACTGGGGTCTCCATGTGGAAAATTTGAGGCAGAAATTTTCCTATCTCACAGAACCGTGGAGTCCACATAAGGTGATGGAAAGGGCAGGAAAGAAGCTGGATTCGCTGTCCCATGAGACGCTCACCCTGAATGGGGAGGACCAGGAATTCCTATCCCTCTGGACAGGTGGGGGGGTGGGAGGGGGGGAGGGAGGAGGGGTCCATTGGCCACGAAAGCCCTTTGCAGAGGAAAAAAAAAAGAAAACGCCAGCCCTCCTCTGAGATGGGACCCTTTTGGATACAGACGACACTTAGGAAAGAGAAAAGCCACTCACCACTGGCCAGCCTTAAAGGAAAACTCCTTGTCTGCAACAAGTAGACGGAGCCTCTTCACCGATGGGGACTCATTGGCAACCGCACACACTTTGGCCGCTGACACCACCTGGAGACAGAGACCGGCCATGGCTGAGTGAGCATCGATACTGCCCCAGGAGCCAGTCGGGGCTCGCAGGGAACCTGGAGGGGCAGGGCTGGAGGGTGACATCTACAAGGATGTGGCCTTTGAAAACAGTGAGGCCTGATTTCGCTTTGAAATTCTTCCTGCTGTCAGGTGAATCCGTTCATTTCACTGTTTTGAGAAATGGACTACTGCTAATTTAATTTCCTCCTGCGTGGAACATTGGTCTCTTCACAGGACTGTAAATAAGCCGTGACTGGGTGAGTGGGGAACGGGCATGTGTCTGCACTGGCAGGGGCTTACACACTCTGGGAAGTGCCCGGGGGCCTGGCACAGGGGTGCTCTGGATCAGGGGACCGGAAAGAAAGGCTGAGCAAGTGCTGTACATGTGACAGGCCTAAACTAACACCTCAGTATGGCACAGGTTCCCAACCACGGCCCGGAGCAACCCCGAGCCAAGCCACAAGAAGCCCCCAAGCATCTCTGGGTGTGGTCTCTACCACCCAGATAAATTAATTGATAACTTCTCTTTATTATGTCTGTACTCCACAAAAGAAGCCCCTCCAGTAGCTATGAACTAGCAAGACAACCATAAGGAACTGATTTCAGAAACTCAAGCACTTACAAAGCTTTTTTTTTAAGCAACTTTGCAGAGTAATTGTACGGCTGATAAATCTAATAATAGAAAGCAAATTGGGGTTGTATGCCTTATGTCTATTTTTAATGGGTTTTTTTCCTAATCCATTTTAACGGCATTTTTGCAAAAAAAAAAAAAAGAGAGAAACAGCCCACAACTGAAAAAAAAAAACAACGAAAACAGTTCCTCGCTGAAGACAGTTTGTAAAGCACTGTTCCCATGATGCATACGATTGCTAGGAAATCCTCAAAAGGGCCGATTCAGGTCATTTTCAGTTAAGTCCCACTCAGCACCCCTCAACCACCAAGGGCCTCTGCTACCTCCTGCTTGGATCCTTCTGCCTTTGGGTTTCTCTTCCTCCCTGGGGACCTGCAGACTGGGATGAGGGCGAGGCTCCTCCCTCAGCCTCCTCCTGCCAATCGGCTCCACCCAGGCAACAGGCCAAACCAGTAGCAGGTGACAAAAAACAATCACTCCCCAGGGCTAGGGATTCTGGGCCTCACGCAGGGGAGCCCCAAACATCTGTGCTGGTCAGTGAACCTCCCTCCCTCTGACTGACAGCCAGAGGCCTCCGCAGACTCTTGGGGCAGACAATTCTTAAAGGCCCACTGGAAAATGCTCCCAGAGGACAACGCTCTCCTTCCCCATGCAGAAACAGCTCCTCCACTGCCCTGCCCTCTCCTGCAGGGGCCCCTCCCTTCCCCCCAGACACTGTGCCAAGCTCTGCCCCCTCCCTCTCCAAGAGCAGGTGGGTGATTGCTCTGCCGGCTGCTTCCCATCCTCTCCCTCGACACTCCTATTTTCTGTTCTCCGGACCTGGCTCACTGCACACAATCTCTGAGGCCATTTGCTCTTCCTAAGTGAACGCGCAGGGAGCCAAACAAAGGAAGCAGCACAGGATGGAGGCTTTAACCCTGGCTCCACCACCACCCGCTCCCAGCTGGCCGGCTGGGCCACATTGCCTGGGCCCCCACAGCGAGGAGATTAAGCCCACCTATTCCTCCCGAGCCACTGGGAGGATTCAATGAGATAATATATGTAAAGCCCCTAAAACGCCGCTGGCCCAGGTAGCCATTACATATCGGGAATGTATTTTATGGCAACATGAACTCAGTGAGTTATAATGAACTCACTGGCCCTGACTCCGGTGTCATATACCATGCGATATTCCCCTTCGTGTCTCTTGACACGCCTGATGACTGTGGGACCCCTTAACGACACTGTCCTCACCCACCACGGCTTGCCGGTTATTTCGCTCGAGCACGCTTAAAGGCCAGACTGTCTCGACACTGAGAAATGTCGCCTTTGTGTGCTGCTTCTCCAGATCTCCCAGTCTCGGACAAAGGCTCTCTCCCTGATGCTCTGGCACCACAGGTAAATCTGCCGTGCCTTCTGCAGCCTCTCTGGCTTGCTGGCCAACAGCGTCCAAGCATCTGGACTCCATATCCAACCTCAGTTCTCCCCTCCCTGATCTCTCTGGGTTTCAGACTCAAACTCCTTCTTTTCCCATCCTGAGGCATTGTCCTAACTCTAGCCTGGTCCTTCCCTCACACCTAGCTGCAGTTCCTTAGAGCTCTGAGCTCTGTTGCCTCTCTCCGCTGCCTCTTCTCTCTCTCTCTCTCTCTCTCTCTCTCTCTCTCTCTCTCTCTCTCTCTCCTCTCTCGCCCTACTTTGAGGCTGTCACCATCCTGCGTTACCAAAGTCGCCAACCAGCCCCTCCACGAACTCATCAATGCTTTTCTGCCACTCACAGGTACACACGCACACACACTCCTGCTAGTAATGGCATGTGGCTCAGGAGCATTTCTCTCCAGAGCCCACTGGGTTCAATGTTTTAGGTGTATTCATGCAGCTGAGAGGACTACTCGTGGAAGGGCCAAAGAGATCGTGTTATTATTCTCCATTCTGCAGATGAGGAAACTGCTGCTAGTGAGATTGGCTAACTTGCTCAAGATCACCTGGGAATATCCAACAAATCAAGATTCGACAGTTATCTGACAGTCCTGCCCCAGTGGCAGAGTCACTGATGGAAATATCTAAACCCTCCACCTGCTTCCTACCCACTAACATCTCCTGAGCAAGGGGCCTGGAAAAACACACACACACACACACACACACACACACACACACACACACACACACCCCACATCCACGACACTCACCACACACACCACACACACACACACACACACACCACACCTACACCACTGCCCCCCTCCACACACACACACTCTTCAAGGCATTTTGTCCCTAACACTGCCACATTCCATGAATTCAGCTCAGCCAGGGACTTCTTTCTTCATAGGAACTTTCTCCCTAGGAGCCTTTTTGTCTTTCTCAAAGTAACCAACAAGTGAATATTCCCAACATTCCAGCCTTCTCAGTTACTCTCCAGCTCAAAGACCTTCAAGGGCTCAACACTTCCCACTTCCCTGCCTCCCCAGCCCTGCCCAGGTCACTCAGTGGGGGCAGCTCCCCTGCCCTCCTGCCGCCTACCCATTTCCTTCCCAGCCCTGGCCTTAGCTCGGCTCTCTTCCCTCCAACTTTTCAATTCTTCCTTTTGTCACTGTACTTAAGGCCTCTTGATGCAAATTGTCTTTACTACCACCACAAGCCTCCAGAGACTAGGAAGTGAGTAGGAGTGAGCTCCCTATCAAGCTCCTGGACCAAGCCTGAGGCAGAACACATCGTAAGGGTCAGTAAATGTTTGTGAAATGAAATGAAAACTCTGATTCAGTCTCTAGAAATTGGTTTCCAGAACAAAGGGGAGAAGTAGTCCAGGAGCCTCTTGTTTACAAAACACACCATGGAAGGGGGAAATAGAGAAATGTCAAATGTGTTTCCAAACTCTGGGAGAAGTTAGAGATTCTTTCAGAGAGAGACGCATCTTCATTCCTATCTAAGTCTCCTGCTGCAAGGACAGTAGGAATCATCAGCCAACTCATTAAATCAGTAATCTCCCCCACTGTAGCTTTACCAATCATTTTCTCTGACTAATCTATAAATCCAGGAGCCAGATGATCTAATTCCTAAGAGGGTAACTGGATCTGACAGCCTCAAGACAGATAACAGCTTTAACCACATACCAAAGTCTCACCACATGGCCAGGAAACCAAAAGTTATACCCGCTGAGGTGGGAAAAACAATGTCGGCTGAAACATGTGAGAATGTTTCACAAACAAATGCTAGACTCAGTGAAATAAAATCACCAATCATTTGCCATAAAAATTCAGTAACGTGGAGAAAGAAAAAGGTTCATTAGAATGAAAGATTTCTATTTCACTTGCATAACCGCTATGACCAGTGATGTCCACAGCTATTTTATGCCAAATGCTATTGATATGACCACCGTGACATTAAATAACATATATGAATATGATAGTAATAAATGCAACCTGTTGCTATGAGTCCAGTGTAGTCCTCTAATAACCTGAGCAACAATGCTAGTACTGGTAACGCAAAATACCTTGCACAACTGGTGATGTTTGAAAGACATGTCTCACTCTCACCACTTTATTTTGATTAACACAGAGTGTGCGTATTATACAAAAATCCCTTGCAATGTCGATTAAAAACATTAGAAAAATCATTTCAAAGGCTACATATTTATTTTATTCTGAAGCTAGTTTCACATCATTACAATCTGTAATCATGGCCCTTATTATATGTCTTTCTTTCTTTACTTTTATTGAATAAGCAAAACATGATGCAGAAACTATGTTTTACATTTGTACTTGCTCTCATACTTAATGGATCAAAAGATTTCCCAACTGAAACCTCAACTAGCCATGCCCTAAGTTAAAACACATGGCAGGAAATGAAGTTTTCCATAAAATAACATTTAGACTCTTCTACTGTTCAATAAAATAACAATACCTTTGCCAACTCTAGTCAACACACGCTTTAAATGCTTTGACGAAGTCAGCATCTAAAAGGGAAATGCCATCACACTGATTTAAGAAGCTGGTTTTATGGAAGGTATTTTGATGTAACTGCTGCTGTGCAGGAAATGGGTCTTTCTTTGGGAATCCTGGTCGGCTTCCTTTCTTCACTCCCTCCCATCTATTCATTTGCTGACTACACTTCAGACAAAGCCAGGATTACAGATGACCTGAACCAAACTACACTCAGGACACAGAAAACTTCAAAGTTAGAGGAAACTTCAGCCCTTATCAAGAACAGAAGGTCACTTTACACATAAGGACACCAGGGTCCGGAGATACGATTTAAGTTGTGGCAGAATACCGATCTGATGAGCAGGAGCGTGATTAGCGGAAACCGGGCTTACTGCAGCAATTTGCTGACAAGGAAAACCACCAAATTCTGTCAACGGCACAAGTCTCTGCCT